TCGAGTAAGTGTGGAGGTAGGTGTCGTGAAGGATCTTGCCTCCGGGCATCGTAGCAGTAGTGCTAGCGAAACTGCTTCGATGGCTTTTGGGACTGACGCGGATGTTGGGGCACACGTAGTGTCTAGCAGTGGCGTCGGGTCATGTTGTGTTTGCTTCTGTGGTGAGCGTGACTGCAGAGTGTGCGCGTGCAAATTCCTTCCTCTGGCCAGCGGTGTAGTTGCAAGTCGAGGGTCTGAGGAGGTTCCTGTTGAGGGTGAAGGGCTCTGTGTGCCTAAACCTGTCTTCCCGGTTTCGAGCTCTCCAAACCGGGAGTCTCTTCCTCTAGATTCTGCCGGCGGTGTAGCTGGAAGTCAGGGTTCTGAGGAGGTTCCTGTTGAGGTTGATGGGCTGTGTGAGCCTAAACGTATTTTCCCGGTTTCGGGCTCTCCAAACCGGGAGTCTGAAAATCAGCATGTCGTGTCTGATGATGGTCAGTCAGACACTGTAGGTGAAACTCGTTGTGGCCTTGATGGCAAAGATGGGACTCTTGGGTTGGGGGGAGATGACGGCTTTTTAAGAGGGCTTTGGCTCTGCAGTGGCGAAACTGCCACTGCTTTGCATGATGGCATGCCTGATCTCTTTCTGTCCCCAGAGGACGAGGGTGCTGCATGGGATGATTTCCTTGTAGGCAATGCGTGTTGTGAGCTTGAAGGACCTTGCATGGGTGGCACTGATGCTGAGCGCTTGGCTTCACTTCTGGATGACCACTGTGAGATTTCAAGCTTGCTTTGGGAGGTAAGAGAGCGTATGGTTGATCAAACCTTCGGGGTCGATGAGAGTATTGTGCCTGACGGTGAAGCCGTGAAGGACAGTGCTAAGGCTTTACAGGAGACCCAGAAGGTTTTGGAGTTAGAAATCGTTGCGTTGGCTTGGTCGTTGGATGCAGGGCACGAAGCTTGTGAGTGCAGTGATGGCTGCGTTGATGTTGTTGACGCTCTGAGGGGCCTCGACGATCGAGAAGGTCCGCAAAATCCCGAAGAAGCCTTGCAAACCAAGGTGGTTCCTAACTTTATCGTGGCTCGTGATATCCACCTTTGGGATTGTCCTATCCGTGCGGAGCTTTCGTCCTTGCTTGATGTTAAACGGGCTCTGTTTCGCGCAACTTGGAGCTTGGTCAAGAAATGGGCTGAGCTGGGCTACCGAGTGTGTGTGATTCCGTCAAAAATCATAAACAGCATCAAAGCGCCATCAGCCAAGTTGAAAACCCGGATTGTTGGATGTGGTAACTACCTTGGTAATGAAGGGGACTCCCGAAGCTCGAGTGAAAAACATAACGAATTGTACGCGGCAGGCGTTGACTTGTCGACTGTCCGATTTTGTCTTGCCTTAGCCTCCGCCAGGCAGTTCGCACTAGGAGCGACCGACATCAAAACTGCATTCTTAAATGCCCGGTTACTGCCTCGAGCTCGCGAGCTCGCCGAACAAGTTGCACTTGAAGCGAGCGGTGTGCCCACGGTTGACGAGCTTGCATTGAATGAACATGGAATGCCAAAAATGCTTGAGGCGCGCCCGGAGGTGGTAGTTATCCGACCACCCAACTTTCTGATCCAGCGCCAGTACGTGAGTGCAGGTGAAGCTTGGGTTGTCTTGCGTGCTATGTATGGCTTGGACCAGGCACCCCGAGATTGGGGGCTCGTTCGCGACACCCAAGTGCAAGGTTTGCGAATCCGAGCGGTTGGTAAGGTACTCCGATTGTGGCGTTCTGCGTGCGATAGCCAACTGTGGCTCATTGCGGAGTGCGAGCCGTCGTTGGGTATTGCCCCGCTTCATCAAGATCCTAACGGCGAAGGGTGGGATGCCATTGACGGTTGGGTGGTCATCTATGTGGATGACGTGCTGGTGGGAGCATGCTTGGAGATCACCAGGGCGGTGCTTGCTGCTTTTGCGGAGCTTTGGCAGTGTGACACACCGCAAATCCTTGTTGATGCGAATAGTAAACCCTTGAGGTTCTTGGGTCTTGATGTTTCGAAAACATCGCGTGGCACCCTGAGGCTAACTCAGTCAGCTTACATTCGAGACCTTGCCGAGCGATACCGGGAGCACCTTAAGCGTGTGGATAGCCCGCTACCTGCAAACACGGTTCCCCCGGATCCTGAGGAGTATACAACTGAGGACCTCCGCCAAACCCAGCGGGCGGTCGGCGAGTTACTTTGGGTGTCCCAAAGGACACGGGTAGACGTGGCATTCGCCGTGAGCCGTTTAGCGTCTTGGTCGATGACTGCTCCGCGCACTGTGCTTTCTCTCGCGCGTCATGTGTTGTCGTATCTTGCGCAGACCTCTGAGGTAGGATTGGAGTTTCCAACGGAGCCGGCTAAAGAGTACAACCTCCATGTGTTCACGGATGCGAGCTTCGCTCCGCAGTGTGAGAAATCTTTTGAATGCTCGGTCATCCGATGGTGCAACTGCACCGTGGCATGGACAGTATGCCACCAACCTTTCGTAACCCACAGCAGTTGCGAGGCTGAACTCCTTAGCGTAACCACTGGAGCATGCTTTGGCGAAGCTTTCTGGTATTTGGTAAGGGATCTTCTTCAGCATGAGCCACTCCTAAAATTGTACAACGATAACCAATCCGCCGTTTCGGTCTTCAACGATCAAGGCGGGAGCTGGCGCACTCGTGCGCTGAAGATTCGTGCTAATTACCTCAAGGATCGGCTGAGTCTCAAACTGTATGAGCTAAATCATGTGCAAGGAAGC